CTGCCCATAGCAATGATCGATCACATGCAAACCATCGTTGTGGTTAAATCTCAATCATCGTTATTAAATGTCAAGTAGGATGATAAATGAAAAAGCATCACCATTTATTTGTTTTGGAAATGGCATCTGCGTAGTTTTTGTGCCTAAAGTTTCCATTTTTTATCACATGGCTCGAGGGGTCAAAGCTGTAAAAGTCTCTGAAGCGGTTAAAAGTTCAAATGAATAGCCCGGGAAACTAAGATCTGAGCAATGAATCACTGAGTAAAAGACTTACATTACATAAAAAGGTGACACATTTAAAAAACCTGTGTTGACAGCTAAGAACAATCTTACTTATATCAAACAAATTACTATTTGATTGTTTTAACATGCTGGAATACTCTCACACTCAAAAGGGACAGAGGTAGCAGTTGTTTCTTGTAAGTACTTGCTGATTAAAATTCTGTCAGCGTTTACCTTGGTGTTGACTATTCATGCATCCGTAAAAGATATTAAAAAAACAAACATTAAGACATTATGTTTATTTTTAATACCGAACCTATAGCAGGCATACTTTGATTATTCTCAGGCCTCACAATAACACCAACGCTTGTTCTTCTGCCACCACTGCATCATCACTTCTTTCTTCCTTTCAATGCTTCTCTATTAGACCAATTTTCAGTCTCTCATGCAGTCCCACATCCATAATTTACTGTTAATAACTCACGTGACTCCCACTACTCCCCGAGCAAGCCTTCATCTTTTCTTATTGCAAAGAAGAGAGACCAAGTCCAATCCGATATATATATATATATATATATATATATATATATATATATATATATATATATATATATATATATATATATATATATATATATTTTTTTTTGCACTCAGCCTGTGGCGGAAAATCTGTGGAAGATGGTTGGGATTCAGGCCAAACTCATCAGGGATATATAAGAGTCCATGTGAGTTAAATATTATATTCTCAAGGCACTTGCCTTATATTACGCTGCTAGCTTCTCTCCAAATCTGTCACTTTCTCTTTCTGCATTGCCTCCTTGCTTTCTCTCTTTCTCTCACTATAAATGCTCATTATTCTCTCTTTGTTCAGTTTTCCCCTTTTCTTTCTCCCTATTATTGACTGAATACAAATATGTCAGGCTTCGCTCGCACTTCTGTCTCATTAATGCCACATTAGGAGTCTATCCTTTCAAAGTTTGTAGACGCATGCTATGTACAACGCCACAAATGTGTTATGTTTAGGGCTGTTAACATAAACACGTTAATCTATGTGATTAATGTAGCCGAGATTAACGCAACAAATCATTTTAACGTAGTTACCGTGTTTGCTTACTTCCGGTATACCTCCGGTCCCGGAAGTAAACCGGAAGTTGACTGCGGAAACAAAACGGCCGCTAGCTGCAGTCAGTTACATCGAGATGGAGGGAACTTTTTGCATTAGAAGTCAAAACAAGCGGAGGCGCGACATACAGCGGAGAACCACGGAGAGGAATTACTCCACGTGTCAAAAAGAAGGGGGGTGGGTGGCAAACGGACCACTTAAAGCACAACTATGTTAAGCTAGCTGCTAGGCTAAGCTAGCTGCTAGGCTACTTCCATCTACTTCCACCCAACATCTAACGTTACCCTGAGCGGCGCACAGTCTGCCGAGGACCCTAAAAGACCGTGGTTTGAAAATGTCCCGGCTATATGTGAGGAGATTGTTGGCACTTCAAACACAGCCGTTAAATTAGTTAGAGCAAAGTGCACGAGGACAGCAGGAAGAGTCGCTAGATCACCATGTTCCACCTGTCGGAATTCTCCCTCCATGATGATCAAATGTGTGTAGTTTAGGGTTTAAAATAACAACTAAACAACAGTGCCAGAAATATACGCTTTCTGAAGTGATTACTCCTTACGTTTAAGATTTAGTCTTAAAAACAAACATTTATTAAAAACAACATTGTAACGACAACAACATTCATTAATTTAGATAAATGAATTTCAAAAGGTGTGATTTTTTAAAAATTCTTTGTAATATATTGACAGCCCTAATTATGTTTGTTGAAGTGTTTCTTTCTGTTTATAGTCAACATTGACATGGACCACGGCGTGGTTGCCACCTGTCAATCACAAGCTGGCCACGTCCTAATTCTCTCCCATATTCATTACCTATATGGGAGCATAATATATGCACGTCATGCAGTATTAAAAACTAATTAAAACAACAATTAAGTTTTTGTTGACATAATCAACCAAGTGGGAAGAATAGACTAATGTAGTTTGCAATTTTGTTGTGGATTGAACAATACAACATTTTTTGACCAAATTTGAAATCAGTGTATTAGCAAGCCAAAAACACAAATATGCCATGTTTTTGCGCCACATATGCCATGCGCATGTTTGTTTTAGTTTGCATACCCACACATGTGAATGTGCTTTCTATTGCGTAATAAAGTAATACTAAGGAGTATCACTTTATCACTATGGAGCATTGGAAGGTATTTTAAAGCAGTGTGTTATTACCTGGTCTCTATGGATAGAAAAAAGGGCCTCTACTTCTCTAAAATTCTCTAAAATTACGAATTAGCGCTAAGGCTTTCGTTATCTCAAACACAACCCACTTAGCCTAAATAACACTGCTGTAGTCATGGCAACAATTCTGTTGGGCGTTGACAGAAAGACAGAAAATATGGGATTTTTGGATTAATCAACAGATTTCATTCTTTTGAATGTGTTGAATGAAAACAGTTCCATGTAAATTCTTCAGCACATCAGACGTTGCCTGTGCTGCACGTGCTGTGTTTGTGTTTGTATACACACAGAGCTGTAGTGATGCCGGCGTGTGAGTGTTTGTGTGTGCTGCTCCCGCGAGTCGGCCTTTGTTAGTTGAGTCAGTACACCTGCTCACCTGTGGTACCATATATCTCAGCCCCTTAATCTGATTTGACTGCCTTCCTCCAGCCTCTGTCTCTGCCAACAGACCTCAGAGTGATTCTGTGGTCTGGCACAAAGTAATGAAAACACATAAAGCTCTCATTACCTGCCAGTGGCTGTGGGGCTGAGCGGTAGTAGACCTGTGCGCTCACACACACACACACACACACACACACACACACACACACACACACACACACACACACACACACACACACACACACACACAGGGGAGTAAGCACACAGAGGAGGAGCATGCTCTCACATACTGCGCATTCAGAGCCCGAGGGCGAGCTGCAGTGTACATTACTCAGCTGTCATCGGGCTCTAATTGATGGTTCTTTCTCTCATGGCTGCGATATGATGGAGCCGGTATTTTCTGTGTAATTTCTACATGGCCACGTTTCGGTTGGGAGGGAGAGCTGATTTGTTCTGAGTTGCACTTTTAAATCTACTGTATTAGAGGCGGACTAAGAGGGGATTTACCGGACCCATGCCGATATTAAGATATGCATCCATCCATAATTTCAATGTGTGGATGTATATTGTGAATGCACATCTTGCAAATTTTATATTGCCTATAATTTCCTTAAAAGCAACCTTTTCCACAGACACTTGGGACTTGGCCTATAGAGCCAAAGTAATTTACCTCTGGCCATTGTGTGGCACAACTGGAACACTTTGAGCTTAATTAACCTCAGTAATAGTACTTTCACAGCCGTCACCACGCTAAGTGGAACTCAAAGTTCCTTTCTTATGAACCATCCACCTTCCTTTTACACGGCCGCTTTTTGGCAAGCGGCCTGTCTTTTTTTTCATCTTTAGTTCCTACTTGGTCTGCTGGAAAAACCCCAGTCGTGACAATGTTGGTGCTGGATATTTGTCTTCACATGGAAATAATGAAACACACAGACATCCATTCAGACAGCGCAGCCCCCCTGTACACACACACACACACACACACACATGCTCTTTATTCACTCCAAACCATTCCACTAACATCATCCCTATGTGGCCTTGCTCAGTAATGTCACTAACATGATTCTGTAAAGGGCCCGCAGGGAGCAGAGACGCTGTGTTTGAACCTAAATCACTCAGAGAAGATGGAACAGAAGCTCAAGAGGAGAAATTGGATTTATTGGAAAGAGATAAAAAAACACCAACAACAAGAGCGGTAGACAAGGAAGGAAAGAAAGGGAGCCATAGAGGGAACAAGCGAGAAAACAACACAAGGACTATAGATGTTACTGGTAACTTAGCATGTTTGTGAATAAGGGTGCAATGTGTGTAAACAAGAGGAGAACCATATAAAGGGGGTTTGGGTAGAAAGACCATTCCCCCCCGAGATTGTATGTACATGTTTTCCCTCTCACTTTTATTGTTCATCGACCTGTTTTGGCGTCGATTTGCTTAGTTTTGGAGCTGCAGGCTGTTGAGATGTCCTCCTTCTCTCGAATACACTGCAGCTTCTCTCTTTCACTCTATAACATGACATCAAACGGGATGACGTCTCCTTGTTAATGACCTTGATAGGACACCTGTGGTACATATCTACAACTCCCCACAACGACGTTCATTTCATTTTACTTCTGCCATTTAGTCTTTTCATCGCAGACTTTCCTGACCATTACATTCAATCAGCATCCCCCCCTTGGTGCCTACCGTCGTCAAGTACTCCTTTACCTTACGCCTGGCTGTATACGAGCTGCTTTCAATCAGCTACAATCACTCTATCGGTCCCCCGTGTGGTGTGAAAAACTAAAGGAACATAAATGTATTTCATTCCCCTCCTCCAAAGCACGTCTCTCGGTCTTTACACGTCACCCCTTTTCCTCTCCGTCCTTATTCCCTTTGAAATGTCGAACAAGCAGCTGCTCTTTTCCACCTGCGCTGGCCTCGGGACGTGGAGATCTGCCAAATAGTTTGCGCTCCGACTTGCCATTTGTTTTGCGCTGCACCCTCGTGAGGGAAGGTTCCGCCATCTTTGACCGCGTTGCACAACACCTGCTGCCGGCATCGCTGTGACTCTTGACGCTTTTTTTAAAACCCACTTTTCTCTCTGAACTCTTTTATATCTGCAGCTGGAAATCTGCCCACCGTGGAAAGCTTGAGCTGGATGACACTGCAAGCTGTTTTTCTCCCTGGAAGACCTTTCCATCACAGGCGACAAGGCTCTTGCCCAGTCTGCCAAAACACTCAATGCAACGACAGGATGTAGAGTGAAGGTCGAACTGCAGTTACATCTTGATCTTTATAGGTTGTAACTTTTTTGGGCATCAGCAAAGTCCAGCTGATACTTCAAGACAATGAACTCCCCTTAGTTTACCTCCTGAGACGCTCACTTACTCTTTTGGAATTTTGGGCTTGCGTGTTTAGGAGAAAGTCACTTGTTCCATCCCAGACGATAGGCAATGATCTAATAAAACTTTTGTTCATTTTGGAACTTCATCTCAGTCATGATACATTTTTCCATTATTCATTAATCTATTGACCTTTTTATTCATTGAAAAAAGGTCTAAGGTGACTCAAAGGATCTCTTTCTCCTGACGATAATTTTAAAAGATAGACAACACCAATCAATTGGCAAAATAATTATTTTTCCATGGAAAGGCAACGATCAGAGGCAAAAAAAAATCCATCCACATGTTCTTTGTATAGTTCACATCTGGTGAACTTTTACAACCATACTGGCACCAACGACTAACATTAATCTGTCTTGACAGCACTGACCTTTTTGAGGAGACTCGAGTCGTAGCTTATTAGCAGCATTGCATCATGAACATTTATTTACTGTCTTCTGTCAGCGTAAAAACTATTCCACAACAGAGTAATGGGTTTTAAACAGTCATGAGACATAAATATATTATACAAAAGTGGCGTTTTAACTGTGTTAACTAATTGCCCCATTAGCGAGGAGATAAAGAGTTTGCTAAGTGGCCACTTTCTGTTTTTTCTTCTTCAATGTCCTTTTATTGAGTGAAAATGTTGAGCATGAAATAAGACAACAGTGGTGAAGTGAACATAACAGTTTAGCACAGGGATCCTTTGTGACCAGCAACATGTCTTTAAAAATGACTTAAATGGTTTATGAAATTACTTTCTGTAAATACTTTAAAAAAAATGTATTGACTAATTTCAACATGAGTTTTCACATGAACTCTGTGTGGTGGAAAAAACGGGTAATTCATGTGCATCCAAAGGGAGCAGTGGTGTTTGAGTTTCCGCATGGTGCAGTTTTGAACTGGTTAGGTGCAGCTGAACCTCTGAAAAATCACAGTTATATAAACATTACTCGAGTGTTTCTCTGTGTGTCTCGTGTGCATGCGTAATCTTTGCCCTCTGAACATGCAGTGATTTTATTGGTAGACATGAACAAGCAGCATCTAACAGCTCCCGTATGAAAGTGAAGAGCCTCTCACCCCTTTCTTTCGGCTCCGTCTCTCTTTCTCCCTTATTCCCGTATGGATGACACACATGGTCCAGCTGCTGATGTACTGTACAGCATGAGGTAGTTTGCTGCTCACCACGCGCATCAAGTCGCAGACTGAGGCAAAGGATGTGCAAAAGAGAAGTGTACCATTGGAAAAAACCAAGCTGAGCATGGACTTAAATGTGTTCTGTGCTGCTGTATTTGTGTGTTTATATAGAGATGTAATTGATTCATCACTACGGCAACAACATCACCTCGAGGTAAGCCGTTATTAACTCTTAATTGTCTTAACTCTTACTTCTTACAGGATGTTTTTATTTATTTTAGGAAAACAGTGACATGCACTAACTCAAACATTTTATACATATTTCACATTTATTAAATTGTACACTTACTCTAATCGTTTACGTAAACGTACCATGCTGTGAATGGATCGGGTCCAGCTTACATCCAGGACATGGTCAAACCCTACATCCCAACCCGCACTCTCCCGCTCTGCATCTGCAAAACTACTCGTCCCTCCCTCACTGAGAGCAAAACACTCGACTAGGTCTCGACTCTTCGCTGTCCTTGCGCCGAAATGGTGGAACGAGCTCTCTGAAGACACCAGGACCGCAGAGAGCCTTCACATCTTCCGCCGCAAACTAAAGACACACCTCTTCAGACTCTACCTCGACTAAAAGACTAACAAATTGTAGCACTTAAATTGTACTTCTAACGTCACTCATCTATAGCAAATTGTAAATTGGCTTACTTGAGGAAATTGCACTTTCTTGTTTCTTGTTCTCCTGAGTTTGTACCCTATGGTTGAATGCACTTATTGTACGTCGCTTTGGATAAAAGCGTCAGCTAAATGACATGTAATGTAATGTAATGTTTGGGTATGATAGATTCTGTACTTAATGAAAAAACTCCAAATATCCCAAAATCCAAATATCATAGTAATTGCTCCCTGGGAGGTGGTGGAAACTAATATTATTAAATACATGACATTAAATGACCAAACATACCCCTGTGCACTTTTGGTTTTTCATGGGTTGGTTTGGGCCCAAATAACCGTCTTATTCCTCCATGTACAACACGTAACAATATCTAAAGCTAGAGGGCCCCTTTCTGGTTTCAGGAAAACAATTCTGGGGTTCACTGCATGGACCTCACTGAGTCCGGACCCGATCGACCCGATCCAAAATGTTTCAATGCACCCAATGATCTTGTTGTCGTGTGACAGAGCAGCAGTCCCCCAGAAGTGAGGCGGCTGTTACATCAGCGCCGTAATGCCCGGGGTTTGCTGAAGTGACCGATGCCGTCTTTTCCTCGGGAGGAAAGTCTCTCCAATCCCTGATTGCCAGCAAAGACGCAAGCCGTTGCAACAATGCAAATGAAGCCCGTCGAGGCCGCTGGTGGTTCCCACATTTTTTCATCAGCGGGCGCAAACTTCTAAGGGAAATCATCGTTACTGTAGAACTCCCCCCCCCCCCCCCCCCTCGGGAAATCTGTGTAAAAAGTGAAATTGCCGACCACCTGTCAGCGCTTCTCTCTGATCATTCTTGGTCCCTCGAGATGTCCCTCAGGGTCCATCTCAATCCTCCAGTGAAAGTCTCCATCGATGCTTGCCTCCTATCTCCGTCTTGTCTCACTTTGTTCAGTCCTCCTCTTATTTCTCTCTCTCTTTCCATCAGCATGCATTCGTGCCGCGGCATCCTCAAGCAAGATTATCAAACTATTTAAAACTTTCATATAGTTATTTACTTTCTTAGAATAGTTTTACTGCCTCTTCAACGTTCTCTCCTCCCTCCCAGTTACTAAATATGTCATTTAAACATATTATTTGACATTTATTTGCCTCCATATGTGACTTTCCTTTACTCCTTTTTTCCTGTCTTTGCTCATTTTTCTTCTCTTTCACACTCTCTGTCACTCTTCTCAACCCTTCTTCTGGCTGTTTAATTTCCTCCTTTCCTCCCAATTCATTTTATCTCTGCCTGGTATCCCTCCCGCTTCCCTGTTTATTTTTTTCATAAAAATAATTGTAATCCTTTTACTGTGTCAACATTTGAGCAGTCCTCAGTACATAAATGGTGTGTTACGGTGTAGCATGTATGTGTGTGAGTGGCCCCTCACACCAAGCTGGGGCCTGGTTCCCCTGACAAGAAATCCATTATCTTCACGATACTCTTGGACTCGGAGGAAATTGAGTTACGCAACCTTATCGACTTTCCAGGACTTGGAGTTCTTTTTACCCAGAACTAACTTAAGTTTATTTTTGTCTCTGTCTCGGTCTCAATCCGTCTCTTTTGTTTGGCGGGAATATCTAAGTCAGAGAAGGTCATGGAAAAAAAGTCTCATTTAGATCAGAAATCATCTTGGCTATGGGAGACATGGGACTAAACTCAACACCACGCGCAAAGTCAAAACTCTTATGCACATTTAGGGCTTGAGAAAAATGCGTATTCTGGATATCGCCCTCATTCTTTTTTGTTCAGATACGTTGCTTAGGTGATTATTTCTCTTATTATAAGTGTTTTCGTGTTCAGTTCAACAAGACTTGTCATTCAACTATTTCCCGTCGAAGAAAACACAGAAGCAGAATTTATCCCAGGAATACACCCCCAACCTTTTACTCTCTCAATGAAAATTTGTCAACACAAATGAGCAATTATTGATATTGAACCACACATGTCACACTATCTTTTAGTAAGACCAACAGATGATCCTCATGCACACCAAGAACTGCAATGAGGGCGCCCGGGCTTCATGTGACACATGGACGTCTGAATCGGGGGCTCATTAAGACTTGGGAAGCAAATATCAGTGACTCTTCCACTCAACCGGAGAGATTCATGGTGTTAACAACCAGAAGGTTAATGTTGTGAAATGATTAAAATCAGCCAATGTTTTTGTCACATAATCAGGGCTAATTAGCTGACAAATGAATCAGAAAAACAGTAATTAAAGTGGCAATCAAACCTCAGGGTGAATCCGAGCACCGGTGCTGTCAACTCACAGGGACAATGTTTGCAAGATGCAAATCCTGATAAGTCATTCGCGTGACTTGTGAAGGAGTCACGATGACGTGAAAAGTGATGATTAGAATTATGGACTATTGTTCGGCTTGGCTAGATGTAGTAATTAATTTCTCCTGCCACAACAAGTGGCACCCGGCCCCCCCTGCTGATGTCGTCTAATTGGTGATGTGCCGAGTCCGTTCCCACATCTGTTGACAAAGACGGATTGACGTCTTCAGAACCCGAAACTGACAAATTGTTTGCAACAAGCTTGTTTCTCTATGAGTCAGACAGGACTCGGCTTTAAATGTGGGGGAAGAACACATGAGAGGATAGACGTCCGCCAAAGTAGTTTAAAGAGAGGGAAATGATTCGTTCTGTTTCATCGCTGGATCTGATCTCTATGACGTCGTGGCTCAGTGAAAGTAGAACATCCTCAAAAGTCTCAGGTGATTTCGTCAACGCTGCTCCATCACAGAGAAGATTTCCAGCTGTCGAACTCATGATGGTTTTCATCAGTGGATGATTGTCATCATTATGTTTGGTACGCTGAGGAAAATGACTTTTCAGATAGAAAAATACACACATCCTTTATTTAGACTGTTCTTATATTCCCTGTCAAGTCAAGATCATCTCTGTTTGCATGGTAGAAGACGTCTTTGAGGATAATTGTGAAAGAACCTTTTGTTGCATTATCGTTCTAAATCAGCGTGCTACCTCACTGGGAAAATTACTCAAATGCAGTCCTGAGATATCGTGTGTGGTTATTTTTTTCACAATCCAGTGAACAATTCTCTTTTTTTTGTAATGCAATCAAAAGTTGTTATTGCTCATAGCCTGAGGTGTTTTTCCATCCTATTACCCCGCGTAGCATCTTTTCAACAGCCCAATCATCACTGCCCAACGCATCTGTCAATATTATCAACCACTCTAGCTGTGATGGCTTCGAGACAATCAGAGGTCAGGAGAAAAATAGTCCCCATATGTCAAAATGCGGCACGCTTGAGTTTAGCTTCAGGGAAAAGGCCATGAGACAAAAAGGGGGGTTTGCAAGTCGCCGCTCCGGAGAGATCTTGGTGAATATGTCCGTGCTCTCTGACAACTTGACAGCATCGAAAGACACAAATGTTTCTGTCACACAAACTGTCAATTTCAGAGGCTAAAATTACAACTGTGGAAGCAACACAGACACGTTGCTGTTGCGCGTCTCAAAACGTCAAGGTTACAAAGACATCTGTCGCACACAATTTGCAAAAGCTGAGTTCAACTAGTGGCGACACCTCAAGGGCTCTCATTTAGCTTTTTCTTTTTCCTCCCCGTTGGCAAACGATTGAATGCTCAGTGTTACTCATCTGCTTCCCCTCACTTCAGAAAACAGTGGCTTACTTTGGCAACACTGATGAAAGAGTAACGCGTGTGCTAATTTATGGGTTCTCCTCTGCTCTCTTTGGATATTATGAGGTCGTGCATTTTATGATGAAACTACTTTCAAACCAAAGAAAGACTTTAACAGAGATATTCACAATGAGCCAGTCAAAAAAGATGACGCAGATCATTTCCCCCACAAAGTTTAGTTCAGGTGTTCAGCTCTGTAACCTCGAGCAAAGGGCACGGAAACCTTCCCGAGATGCGGATGTTTTTATGGATGGTTGGATGGATAAACAGGGCGTGTAGCGAAGAGGGGGTGGAGCTCTGCACTCCAAAAGTTATGTGACAGCAAGCAGCATCTGACCTTATCAGCGTGAGAGGAAATCTACCGTTTCAGGTTCAAAGAGCTAATGAATATAAATGAAAGGCATCGACAAAAATGAATTGGCCTTAGATTAAAGATCAGACCCATCTGTAATTGTGATTATGCATGCATTCGCTCCATCGAACAGATGAAAGATATCAATCGATGGCAAGCATCAGCACTTTCTGCGTTTAACGGGCCAATAACCTGTCCTCTTCTCCCCTCTCTCTCCTTGCAGGCTTAGGGGTTCTTCATGGT